CTATCGCAAAGAAGCTTCGAGAGTCTGGCGACTTCTCACATGCATCATGTTACTCCTTGTTAAACAAGGTTGCTTTCAAGGCCTCCAAGAAGCAGAGGTCTATCATCGCCAAGGATCCAAAGTCCTCTAAGAAGAAGTTCGAGTATGTTGTGCTTGGAGCCTTCTCGCATGGCGGGATGCAAGGCATCACTAACCGCAGTCACCAAAACAAGGAGCTAATGAAGTTCCTTAATGAGTATCTGAAACATCATGGTGCTAAAGGCCCCAGCTCTTCGCTGTGCATCAATCATGGGTCCAGCGTCAAGGTGCATAAAGATGCTCACAATCATCGTGAACATAAGAACAACACCATGTGTTTGGGTGACTTCGAGGGAGGCGAGCTTTGGATTCATGATGAAGAAATCAGCAGGGAGAACAAAGACTATGCTTCTGTTCGCACGCCTGACGGCAGTAAGCTGAAAGGCAAAGTTCACAAGACCAAACATCGTATGCTTACGTTTGATCCCAAGACGTACCATTGCGTCCGTCCCTGGAAGGGTGACAGATGGAGCATCGCATCGTATGTGAATCGTGCTGTGCACAAGCTTGATGCTACGCAGCTTGCGAGACTCAAAGAGTATGGTTTCAACGTGCCATCTAAGGTCTCAGCTCCGTCTTTGATTGAACCCGGTGATGAGGAAACTTCCCTGTATGACCTTGTTGCCGGAACACCTCCAGTTGAGAAAGGGGTCGAGTTACGTGCGAAGCCCAAGGTTAAGACCAAGGGTAAGCCTGAAAAAGAAAAGAAAGTTGAACCACCCAAAGAACCTGATCCTCCATCTACATCGAAAGAAGGTGGTCATGATGACGAAGATGATATGGATTACCTCGGTCGTATCCTTGAGGAGGAAGGTTCTGATCTGGAGGATATGCCTAAGGATGATCCGGGTGCAGCTCGCGCTTCTGACGGAGCAGCTGTCGCCCCAGATGGGGATTCCGAAGGCGATGGGAAGAAGAGAAAACGGGGTATAGAAGTCCTGAAAGCTGAAGCCAAGTCGCTGCATCATATGATGTCGCATCAGCCGAAGAATCCGTTCTGTGATATTTGTCAAAGGGCTAAACTAAAATGTACAAACCTCCTTCATATGCGACTGGAGGGGTGCGTACCATTGAAGCCAAAGACTTTGGTGACCATGTTACAGCAGACCACATAGTGCTCTATCGGGACAAGGACACCATCATAGAGGACTCCCGGCTGGCGCTGGTGATTAAGGACGTTGCAACAGGCTTTTGCTATGCCTACCCCTCAGCTCTCAAGTCAGCTGAAGAATGCACCGTTGCACTTCAGCACTTCACGTCTCCAAAGGATGAAGTGAAGAACTTCTACAGTGATCGTGCTCCTGAGCTCAAGACCGCCGCAAAAACTATGAAGTGGCGTCATGAGAAGTCTAAGGCCTACTTGCATCAGTCAAATGCGATTGCAGAAAGGCAAGTCCGGTCTGTGACCGAAGGCACACGAACCAACCTTCTGCAGGCTGGCGTCTCGCATGTGTATTGGCCTTACGCGTTGGAGCACTCGTGCACCGCATTTAACATCAGCCATGTGCATGAGGTGAAGTACACGCCCTGGTTCAAAAGATTCGGTGATAAGTTCCCGGGAGAGCTTATTCCGTTTGGGTGTAGAATCGATTACTGGGTTGGTCCCAAACCCACTCGCAAGAACCGAGAACGTTTCGCTCCTACTTCCGAACCTGGTGTTTTCCTTGGCTATAGGTTTCAACCTGGGATGAAATGGCGCAAAGAAATCGTGGTGTTACCTTTAAAGGAACTGAACCGTAACGATTTTCATGAGTGCCTGACTCCCATCAGTGCCTACCAATTCAAGGTTCCGGGGGGAGACTTCGCGTTTCCCATGAAGGAGAGGTACGAGCGCATTCAGGCCGGATTCTCGTCCGAGGCCGTTGAAGGCCCCGCGTCCCAATCTCTCGAAAACCAGGATGCCGAAGCACAGGATGAGCAAGTTGGCGATGACGCCGCTCCTCCTATCGCTGACCTGGCGGTCAAGCCCCCTGAAGTCATCGATCCCAAAACTGGCAAGATTGTTCCCTTGCCGGAAGGTGAAAGATTCTATGATTCAGGTGACGTTATTGGCCGAAGATACGGGGGGACGAGGGGATCCAAGAAACCTGATTCCATACCTAGTTCTATCTGGGTTAACTTGTCCAAGAGACAGAAAGAGAAAGCCATTGATGATGAAGCACGAAAGATTGCTCTTGCCGAGCTGGATGAAGAAGTTGGCGGCTCAGCAAGTAGTAGTGCTAAGCCTTCTGCCGCCGCATTGCCTGATAAAGACTGTTGGAAGATAGAGGGGAACAAGCTCACTAGGTTCCACTTTGTCCCCAGAAGAGAGCTCTTCTCACCTGATCTCACCGATTGTCCGGTTGACCTTAAGCAAATTGGCAAGGTCCGCAACTCGGTTATCTTCCCAGTCGGTGGCGTTGATGTCGTCAACGATCAGGACGAATGGCGCAACGTTCGGAGGCGTAATAAGAAAACATCGTTTAAGTGGATCGGTAAAACCGAGTTTACAATTACCCCACAAGTTCCTGCCTCTGGCGAGGTCAGCGGGTCGCGCCCCGAGTTTCCTGCGATGCCAGTGTCGCTCGACGGAAGTCCTGAGCACAGAGAAAAGAGTTTGCCTAACTGCCCCACGTCGCTCGAAGAGATCAACGAGCGTATGGCTATGGTTGCCAGGCCGGTGGGCTGGAAGGAAATTCTCAGCAATCCCAAGGCCCAAGCTGCGTTAGATGTTGAGTGGAACAAGCTCATGCAGAAGAAGGCTTGGGACATGGCTTCTGTTCGGGAATGGGAAGAAGCTTCTAGAGAAGCTAAGAAGAAGGGTAAGAAGGCCCATGTGGGGAAGGTGTTCGAAATTTGCGTGGAAAAGGGAAGTGAATTGCCTGCTAATGATCCTTTGAGGAAGTTCAAGGGAAGGACGGTTTTTCAGGGTAATAATGTGCGCGATGAAAACTCTGATTCCGCACTTTTCTCTGAGTTGGGGTCCAGCCCCGCAACCATGGAAGCAGGAAAGGCCCTTGATGCCTATGGTCACACTCCTGGAAATGAGTGTCAACAGGCCGACGGGAAACAGGCCTACACCCAAACTACCTTGAAGGGTGCTGACACTTGGGTTCGTCTTCCCAGAGATAGATGGCCTAAGGAGTGGATTGGCAAATACAAGGATCCTGTTGTCCGCCTTCACCTTGCACTGTATGGCCACCCTGACAGTGGAGGCTTCTGGGAGCAGCATTGCGAGCGCATGCTGAAGCAGGTAGGGTTCCAGCTTGTGTTTTCAGCAGCTTGGCCCTCAGTGTTCTTTCATCCTAAGTTGAAGCTGCTTCTCGCCGTTTATGTTGATGATTTCAAGATGGCGGGCCCCAAAGAGAACGTGGCCCGTGGATGGGAACTGATTGGGTCTAAGATCGATATGGATACGCCTACCCCGGTCGGAAGATATCTGGGTTGTGATCACATCACCAACACTTCCACCCTCAGGAAGGCCGACCATCCTTTCGCTCACGTCTTTGACAAGACCGTTCCCGATCCAGCGGCGAAGCCTGCTAGTGTTGCAGCTAAAGAAGATTACACTGAAACGTTCCCCGAAGAAGGTGTTATGGTTCGACATCATTGTCAACCTCGCAAAGCTCTTTATCAACCCCGCGAAGCGGAAGCTTCAGCTTATGGGCTGGGGCATCACAGGTGTACCCATCTCACTGATGTTGGAAAACCCGATGTCGTTCACGAATTGTGGGATGATAACGGTAACCGCGCAAAGCGGGGGGAGCTGTGGACAGGTACCACTTATATTTGTTCTGGTTCCCATGCTGGTGAGCATGACAACAAATCTACGTCCGGAGGAATCCTGGTACTTGTTGGTCCAAACACCTACTACCCTCTTGCTGCATTTAGCAAGAAACAAACAAGCACTGCACTCAGTTCCACTGAAGCCGAGGTTGTGTGTGCTAACGTTGCATTGAGAGCCTTAGGCCTTCCTTCATCCGCACTTTGGAGTGTGCTCCTGAACGCGGGGGGGGATACTGCAACGAAATCGCCCACTCCTCTGACGAGAGAGTCCAAACCTTTTGTTCCTAAAACCATTCCCTTGCCCGAGTTGGGAAAGATCACTGTCACCGGTCTTCAAGAGCTTGACGATGGACGGGTGCTAGACGTGTACAACAAGATTAAGGTGATTCCACCACCCGATAATCTCACTTCGCACCCCATTCGTAACGTTTGGCTTCTTGAAAAAGGTAAGTGGTTTGCGTACCAATCAGATGTTGCTTGGGAAGAAAGGGACATGCTTGATGAGATCCTTGAGAAAGAATATGAAGCGTGCATCTGCGTATACCGTAGATCAGTCAGGGACTATCGCCGCCATGCGGAAGCAGAGGCATACCTGCATCGTGAGACCGATGGCATCAGGAACAAGGGGGGTGGCTATGACAATGCACCCACAAGGAATGATACCGATATAGGGTTGATCGTGTCGGTCCCTCACTCTGTTCAGCCTGTTGTTCTTGAAGATAACCAGGCCACGATTCGCATTCTTGAGTCAGGTAAGTCTCCCGCTTTTAGGCATGCTGATAAGACCCAACGCCTCAATCTAGGCTGGATCTCAGAGCAGTTCAAACGAAAGCATTATGAACTTGCTTATATCAACACCTTGCTTCAAGCTGCAGATGTCCTTACAAAACCATTCACTAGTGCTGAGAAGTGGAATAGAGCACTGCAGTTGATGTGTGTGGCACCGCACAAGCTACCTGCAAGGAAATCGGCAGCGGCCACCAGTGATTCGATCGCCCGGCAGACGCCGAGGCCCGAAGCCGCATACAAAAGGATTGTGTTCGTTGTGGATTGTTCGCAGGGAACACATTCTGCTTGTGACGTTGATAAAGGTATAGCCCCGATACAAAGGTTGTTAAGATCAGAAATTCTAGTGAGCTTGATCCTCCTGAGACTAGGAAGGCAATCATCCAGTTAGCCCGGGATTACCACAGGGCTGGCGCCTCTGTACTTCTTTGGTTCCATCAACGGAATCCGGGGGGTATAGACAAGGATCAGGACGAGCTCAATAGCATCATGTTCTCCAAGACTTGGGCTTCCTTTGTTGACATCGCCGATACTCTTAAGAAGTACAAAGCGAGGTTCATCATTACGTGGCCCAGGGACAGCGTGTTCTGGGGATGGCAGCGTGTCAAGAGGGTACTTGATGGCTATGGTTTTAGCCAAACTCACCTCAAGCCAATGGTTGAAGTTGCTGACCTTAAGCCTGAAGTCATTGCCCATTACACGTTGGCCTCCAACACGAAGAGTCTTGTTGAATTCTTAAGACGAGGGTTGAAGGATAGTGCCAAGAAATCAGAGTCCCAACACTACTTCAAAGGCACCCTTACTACGATCCTCAGTCGTGTTTTTGATGATCATGATTCCCACAAATCAGAAAGAAATCACACTCACGTGGTAGCTGTTGCGCTCAAGATTCAAGCATCCCCAACATCCTCTCTTTCGCTCCTTCCCATTGCGAACATGTCCTCTGCCCAGAGCACCCGTGACGCTCTCGCACAGGGAACCGCAGCCCGGGAGGGTGTGCAGACTGCTGAGGGATTGCAGTATGCAACGGCAGATCGTGAGGAACGCAAAAAGGCGTATCGCGCCGCACTCAAGAGTGCTGATCGCTTGGCTGACGCCATGGCCGGAGTCACCCACCTTGCTCGGCACACCGACCTTGCTGAGGTGTTTGACGAACCCGGGGCTGACGCCGACGGTGATGAAATGCTCTTTGGGATTATGACGGTGAAGGAATGGCGCGACATGCGTGTGCATGCGCCGAATGCGCTCTGGACTGCATTGTACGAAGCCTGGTTCCCTCACTATGCTTGCCGCCAGGGCAATCTGTACATGCAGGACCAACGCAACACCTCCCTGACGGGATGGTCAGCCCTCATCCTTCAGCACATTAAGGATTTGGGTATCCTCGGGTGGGGTGTTAACTTCGAGAATGCCATCAATAAGACGGCGATGTATGACATTTGCCATAGGGTCCACATTCTTTCAGAGGGTAGCGGTACCTTCCCAGTGTTTCCTGCGAGCTCAGCTCTCTTGGACGGGCTCTACAGCCCAGCCTTGGGCAGGATTTCCGCGCCCCCCACGGCGGAAGCCGGTGGTTTCGACGGCACCGACATTCTTGTGGCCGGGGACTCATCCTTGGCATTGTGCTGGATGCAAGGAAAACGGTGTGTGAAGAAAACCACGATCTTCCCGATGATGCAGGACATAGTCCGGGCGAACCCAGAGTTCGGGGAAGTCGCATGCCTGATGGAGTGGGGCAAAGGTCTCGACAAAATCATCGTTGTGATCGAGACTCACCTTGCCTCCGCTCCCCCGGAAGGGGTAGAGCTTGTGGTTTCCTGGGCCGGCAACGATGTGTATGGTAACTACGGTTACCTTGGCTACACTTGGCACTTGACGAGCCAGTGGGTCAAGAGGCCGCAGCGTGAGCTGGACGAGATCGAGCATTGGCCCGCGAAACAGCGGCTGATGGTCGAGAAGAGCGTCCGCCGCCTCATCGAGCTGCGGAAGCACACTCGTGTCAGAGGCCTGACGGTTGTCTTGGGAGATGACAACGGTCGTTTTTACAACCTGCCCAGCGAGTATGATGATGAAATGGGAAAGTACGCCCGACAGCTGCAGAGTGCAGGCGTAAGCGTCGTTGATCCATCAAGCCTACTGATGAGGACCACACGTCCCGACGGGTTCCACATCGAGGTCACCGACCCGAATGTGACTGCTTCCTTGCAGTGGTGGCATGCTCTCATCAGAGCCATTTCCACCGACCGAATCATCACTCGCCGGAAGGCTGAGTTCGTCGCCAATCAGAGAAGTATTGTGTTCCGCAATCACTTCGAGCTTGGGAAGGCCGAGAAGACGCTCACGGTGCCGCCTGCAAGCCAGCGCATCCTTGAGCCGTTGGACCGTGCACCCGAGCTCCCGGCGGAAGCCAGGGAAGCCTCTTCTGATGATGATGCCTGAGCCGGTCGATGATCTTGATCTCAAGCCGGAAGGCTCTGAAGAGGTGACTCAGGTTGAACATGTACTGTTTAGCCGTGATCTCGGGTCAGAGCTGCCCCTCGACCTTGTCGCCGTCGACCCAGAGGCGCAAGAGGACTTTGCCTTTACGGTGGCACGTGACGTCATCAACACCACAAACGTGCTTATCCCCGATGCCGACGCCATTGAGAAGGAGGTCACTGACGGCATCCCCACTTGGAGGCCCTGTTGACTTAGTAAGTCTACTTAGTATCCCCTAGAAACCCCATTATAATCCCCATAACCCACCTTACTAACCCTACTTACTAAGTCAAAAGGGCCTCCAAGCACGGTGTGGGACGAGCCCCCAGAGGTTCCGGCATCGGAAGATGACCGCAGACTTCCGAAAGGCACAGTCGGGTACTCGCAGGCCCTTCGCAAAGTCGGGTCGACACCCAAGTCGAAACCCGATCCTGCCAAGCACAGGAGAATCTCGGAGCCAGCCGAGACCGACGACGAAGCGGATGTCGTTATGGACCTGGATCCTGATGACGCCGCTCAGCCGTCGGAAGACGCTGCTGGTGATTTCGAGCCATTCTTCGAATGGTGGGGCTATGAAGACGTCCCCGATTTTGCCCCAAGCCATCGCTACATGACAGATGGCAAGCGGCGGGCATTGAGCAATGCCATGAGCTTTTTCCTTCGCGGCTTCGCGAATAGTGCAGAGTCACAGGCACAGAAGCGGCCACCGCCCATGATGACCTTCGACCCCGCAACACGGGAGGTCGAATGGGACCACTTCAAAGCACAGTTGGGCAAACAGTGGCGCGGTCTCCGGTCGGAAGACGTCTTGGAAGTGGTCAAGTATGGGAACCACGACAAAGACGACAATGGACGCTTTGAATTGCGCGTCCTTCACTTCATCGCTGAGATTCATGGAATCCGTGCATTCCAAGGGCACTGCCGCGATCTCATCTCTGACGAAACTGATCTTGTGGATATGCACAGTGACAGCTATGCTTTGTGTGATGACTACAGGCCCACCATGCATACGCGTCCTCCCGTAGGAGTCACTGGCCAAATCCACAACGACTGGGTCAGAATGCATCCGATCGGGTACCATGCGACCTACTGGAGCAATTTCTCCAATATCGTGAGTACCGGTCTCATCCCAGGCGGTGTCACCCTCGGCGGAAGCACGGGGAGAGCCTTCACCATGATGGCTTGCCTCCCTCAGTGGGAAAGGCCGAACAACGCAGGCCTGCGACCTGGCGCTGAGGTTGAGTTCGCTATCGACCTCCAACTCGCGTGCCTGGAAGGGTGTCGCATTCTCCTGACAAAGAACAATGTTCTGCAGACCCCCGATTGGTTGTCCAATTATGTTTGCTTACGATCGCAGAACCGGGAAACCCGTATGGTTTAACCGCTCGTACGAGCTCACGCGAGCTCGGGTGTCCAAAGCCCGTGATGCATATGTCAAGCATCAGGAGATCCTGCCGGTCTTCAACCAAGACCTCATCGACGGAGCAGCGGAAGCTGACGCCAATTGCATCATGGATTACGTTGATCTCTGTTACCCGATCCACAATGAAAATTTGGACTGGGTTGAGTTCTTGGGTATGTTCATTGACATGCAGAAGCCCTCGCACTTGCGTGAGGTTGAGCAATTTCATGTCGATGGTCGTACCATCTGCTTTGAGCAGGGTAGTCCGCTGGAGGGAACTCCGTGCGAATGGACTTTGGATGCCCAGGTCTATTTTTCGCCTATTGGGCTGACCACCGAGCGCCCGTTGCGTGTGGAGCGCAAGCACTACTCAGTGTGCCTCAACGTCAGCTTCCCAAAGCTGCGTTGCCCTGATGATAGGTGCAGGTCTCAGATGCTTGACGGCTATCTTCATTGCCCCCGCTGCCAGCGGAAGTTGTTCAATCCGAGCGACATCTCCCACATTGCGGAGCTGGCTGATCTGCGGGCGGAAGCCGTGCAAGGTGGAGCTAACCACAGTCTCCACTATTATCTGGCACCGAAAGCAGCCATCAACACTCGCCCACACGAGCACACTCGTCAGGGTGCCGATGTGAAGAAAAGCATCGCTGCGACACTCAAGGAGAAGTGCAAGAAGATGGTGGCGAAAGCAGCAGAAGGGACACACGGTTCCTTGCGCCAGAACTTGAAGTACGAACCCTTCAGCGCCTTCAATGTGTTTTCAAGGGGATGACGGTGACTTCACTCGACGAAGTCGAGATGTTCGCGCGCTTGCGACTTCCCGCCCCGGGAACGGGGACGGAGGCAAAAAGAGGCTTTGCCGGATCTCACACATCCGATGCTCGCACTGCCCTCATTTTCCCTCCCGTCGACGACATGGTTCGCGGTGAGTACAATTACCAGAGGAACATCTTTCTTGAGCTGGCCAGACACTGCTATTTCTGTTTCCAAGATCGCTTTTACGTGGTCCCCGAAATTTCGGTGTTGATCCGCGCCACTCAGTTGGCCTCTGAGGTTCGCCGTGTGCGTCCTTTCACAATCCTCCGCCATGACGGCGTCGAGTGCCAGCCCGTGACCGGGACTGTCCCAGAGATCATGGCCGACCTCGTCGGTTTGCTCCGCAACAATGCACAGCACGCTCTCACCCACAAGGAGCGCAACCAGCAAAGGGTTACTGTGCAAGTCGGAATTCGGCAGACTCCTTTGGAGATTCCAGCATCGCTGGGAACTATGGGCAGGTCACAGATGCTTGAGCTTCTTGGCGGTACGCGGTTCAGTGTTGAGCGTACCCGCGGTTGGATTAATCGTGAGGTGGAAGACCGAATGGTCCGGCACGGTGCCACTCCCATTGGCGCTATGCGTGTGCCGCCACCGCCACCGTCACCGTCCGGAAGGACTGGTCCTGATGCGTCGCTGCCTGCAGCAAAGCAACACCGAGTGTTCGGCCTCCACCGGCTCCCCCGAGCCGAGGTCGCTCACCTGGCGGTGCAGCTTCATCTTCCACGGATCGTCCGATGAGCACTTCTGTCCCGAAAGCTGCAAAGACGAAGGCAAGGCCGGCATCTGCCAGAAGTGTCACGCCGCCTCCTCCTAAGCCAAGTGCCAACAGGCCAGTGCAGCCGCCGCACCCACCTGCTGCAAAAGCTGTTCCGAAGGCTGACGCCGTTCGTGCACCTGAGGAATACATCACTGCTGATGAGTGGGACAACTACTTTGCCGGCCGTGGCGAGGTCAGAGGCTTTGCTGTTGGTGATGCACCCGCACCAATTGCCGCCCCTGCGGGGCCACCCACTGATGGGCCATCTGCCTCAGCCGCCGGAGGGCGTGCTCGCACTCGCTCACCACGCCGCCATGACTATGGTGGGGGTCGGGACTACCAAGAGGCCGCCAACGACAGGTTGCGTCACCTGCGCCTGTGTGATGAGGCGATCGAACAGCAACTCGAGCACCTGACGGTTACTCTCCCAGGCTTCCCAGCTGACCGCTTGCGGAACTGGACCGATCAGGATGGGAACGGATTTGATCCAACCCAACCAATGCCTCGCAATTGCACTCGCACCGATGCTTGGTATTGGGGAGTTCTCCGTGCCCGCTATCTTGAAGAGCTGTCGCCCAACGAAGTGCCTTTTGTTATCCCCGCTTACACCGACCGGGAGGTTTTGGTTCAGCATCCTGTTGAGCAGATTACCTGGTTCCTGCGTGGCTGGGAGGAGTTTCGCCAAGACTCCAATGGAGCATGGTACAGGGCATACTAGCCTATTGCATCCGACACCGGAAGGTGCTCCGCGTCTTGAGGGCACCGTGTCAGGAGATGCATGAGTCGCATGCAACAGCGACTTACATTTTGATCCGTTTTTCTGCAGCTCACCGCACTGACGTGCTGGTTCGTCATACACAACCATCGCATCGGCACATGCGTGCATCACCGCCCTGACGGGTTGGTTCTCTGACCTGCTTAGTGGAGTGATTTGAGCTTGCATTTCAACTTCTTTTGCCAGCCTCGCAAAGCGAGTGCTGCCTACATGTAGCGTAGTTCAGAGTTACGCCTCCTCCGCTGCGCTTCAATGCGCTGGGGGGGGGGGGGTTTTAATCTCTTTGTACGTTTGTCCTAGTGTCTTACCTACGCTACCGTATGGCTCAAGTATGAAAAAGGATTCGTGCGTCCTGCTGTTAACAATAGCTATAATACGGCACCTAATATTTAGGGTCCCTTTTTGGGTCCTTCTTATAATACCGCACCTAATATTTAGGGTACCCCAAAAAGGGACCATAATTTTGACAACCACCCATGTGGTCTTTATGCTTCAACTTAGGAGCTGTAAGCTTCCCCCGGCTTCATGGCCTGATTCTATGAAAAAGAACAGGGTTTAGGGTTCAGGGTTTAGGAGGGTTTAGGGTTTAGGGTTTTGGGTACAGCTGCGGCATGTAAAACTCAAAACCTGTTTAGAAGTGTTTAGAGCCCGATAGAGAAGGGAACTTCGCAGACCTAAGAGACTATGAGTGCTTTGGTGCGTATAACCCAATCAGGGGTCGCCTAGCCTCAGCAAGCTACTGTAGCGCGTTTTGCTTTTAGAGTTTCAGCAGGCATGCACAGGGTACTGGTCCCTAAATTCGCTAGAGTTTGATAGGGGCTTTAACAATTAGAAAATGGTGCCGCGTGTAATCATGTTTACAATGCGGCCTATGGTCAGTCCTCTGGCAACCGTAACCTGCAACTCATGCAGCCAGCCGGCTCAGGTCAAATCCGCACGACACATGCATCCACCTCTTGTCCATTACCTCGACCACTCATCGGGTTTTGGGGGCTTTCGCACGATTGCCCTAAACCCTAAACCCTTAGGGCAAAAAGGTTAGAAGCTGCCCCCACCCTGTAATAGTGGTATAATAGGAATATAATAGGGCGCTAATATAATCCTTATAGTCGCCTTAGAGTCACTATTACAGGGTGGGGGCAGCTTCTAAGCCTTAGGGTTTTCGCGTTTACGCTGTAAGCTTCAAGGCTCAGAGCTCGGACGGCGGGTTTCGGGGCCGGGCCTTCCTCGCCAACGAGGATAGTACAAACATGCAAAAAGCTGAGTAGGAACGATTCAAAACCTTGAGGAGATCATGCAGTAAGAAGACCCGTAGAATATGGGAGCTTCCGAAAATGGGGGATCCTAATATAGTACACTACATAGTAGGATCCTGAAATTTAAGGACCCCCAAAATAAGGGTACTCCCCCAATTCTCAGAAACCCCCATATGATTTTAAGAAGGGGCCTGGGAGCAACCCATGGCCATCACGAGCTGGGAAATTAGGGTTTAGGGTTTAGGGAGGTTTGACGTATGTAAGGCTTCGAGGTTTAGGTCTCCAGGCACTGCTGTACCACCTTAGAACTATAGTAAGCATTCGTAGCTTGAATATTCTCTCGCGATTTGTATGAACACAGATGAAAACATTTTGTAAGGAGACTATAGATTGACTCGCACGAGGAAGGATAATCTTCACGACAGCTTCGTGGTTTGGGGCTTGCGGGCTTTGGGGAATAATTCAGGTTTAGGCGGTTTAGGGTTCGTTTAAAAGGGTTATAAGGGCTATGATAAGGAAGTCGGGTAGAGGGTGCAGGGTGTCGGCCTGAGAAGAACTGCAGCTACTTGTACCCACAGGGACTTCTTTTTGATGATCCTCCGGAGGTAGGGCTTGTAAACTCCTAATGCATGAAGCATGGGCCTAAGTAGTTGAAAGGGGCTTTGGGGCCGATGATTGAGTTCAATTTTCACAACAAGCGTCTATGTTAAGCCCTACGCCCCAGCTGCGGTTTGGGGTCTTCTGGTCTTGGCTTCGAAGTGTTTGGAGGTTGGCAACTTCGTTGTGCGTGATGTTTTGGTTTCGGAGAACCACCCTAAACCCTCAATGCGAAGAAACCCATTTACGCCAAACCGGATCCGTCCCAAAACGCCAGAGAGAACCTAACCTTCACTCGCACGGAAGCGCCAAGCAATGTCCATGCTGTGAGGCTGAGAAACATCGTTCTTGTAGTCATAGATCTCTTCGCTGGTCAGGCCCATCCTACTCCACCGGGCTCTTGGCCGTGCCCGCTTTCGGAGTGCAGGGCTCTTGGTTTGGGGGCTCATGGGGACGAACGTGAAAGTGTAGGCTGCAAGCTTTGAGGCTGCGAAACTTCGTCCGAGGGAACACATGACCACCGTAGTTGATTGCATCGATGCTTCTGTGATCTTCGTTGAAGGTTTTCGCCCTCTTAAAGTTGTTTCTATTGAGTCTATTCCGTGCTTTTCAGGCCTCATAAACGAGTCCGGCCGCAGAAGCTTGTGGCCGAGGAAAAACACACCACACTGCCCGAAATCCAGTGTCTGTGATTGTACGAGCACGCGCGCGCATGTGCGTGTGTGTGTGTGCGTGTGTATAAGGCCTCAATGCTTGAAGCTTTGTGAGCAGTCCTTTCAGGGCTGCAGGCAGCCCACTGCGTTAAACTATGACCCATGATGGTCCTCAGTCATTATGGTGGCCGTCCCGATAACAATAAAACAACGTTGGTAGGAGTGGCACGGGTACATTGCCATAACAGTGATACCAGCAGCCAAGCAGGAATGATCCGATATTGGTCAGAGTAGAAGCGACCAAACATGATCATAGGAATCACTTCAGCAACAGTCGCTACAAAGCACAGAACTCTCCAGAACACCTTGCAATCGCAAGTCCCAAACTCGAATCGTGAACATCCGAAACCCTCGATTCAGACCACCCAGGAAGTAGTGAAGTTTCGCGACGAAAATCTCAAGGAAAAGAAATAGTTCGTGGTTTAGGGCTTTTGGGGCTGCTTTGAAGCTTTCTTACTTGTCCGTCTAGCAGCAGGCGCAAAGTCCTACTTTTTGTGGGTCTTTTGGGCACCGTAAGCCAGCTCCCAAATAAACCCCAACCCAAAACTGTGAGTCCTAAACCCTAAACGAACCTGCAATCCCGAACCCGGGACTTGCCATGCAATTAGGGCTGCAGAGAGCGTTTCTCGAAACGCCCCGAATAAAGGCTACATTTAGCTTGCTCAACCAGAAACTGGATCCTTCATACCTTACTCTTAGGTCTTACAAGGCCAAGCCCGAAACCCCGCTCAAAACAACCCGAGCCGTTAAAGGAATCCGAAAAGACGAGGCCCACCTGTCTGCCGCATGCTTCACCTTGCCTTCGATGAACTCCTTGGCACAATGAACCGATGACGTGACAAGGAGGTAGTCTCTCACAAGTCGGACTTGCCAGATGAGGTCTCTTGCTTCGCAGTCGGTGATACTGGACTTTTTGAAGGTTTGGGGTTTATGCCGATAGGGTAGGGTACGATGGTTTGGGTTTCAGGGGATTGGTGTTTAGGCTTGGGGTTTGCGTATCAGAGCACTGATTACAACGTATATACTACCGTGGCATGGATGGCAGAACAACACTGATGGGATATTTTCTATGCATTGTACAGGGAGGGGCCTTCATAAGTGAAATTGGGGTTCGGGGTTGATATACTATACTTGTACCAGATAAAACCTAAAGGATAGCACTACTAGTTGTTCAGGCCCCTAAGCTAAGCATCCAGGAAGCCAAAGCTGTGGAACGTCAGGTGTCGTGGATTCTATGTTAGAGTACTGGCAGCCTTGCCTAGCTAATTAACCGTGACAATGCTGCAATATGCTGCACGCAATCGTCACCAACAACTCGTGCATGACGGTGCTTCATGCTGCACCGTGCGCAAAAGCAGATAAGACTGAAATCTTTGCTCTGGTAAGCTACACTGCGAGAAGTATGTCGGCAAAAGTAAAAAAACAAGTCGAAGCACGACTAGTACACATGCCGAAACGACTGGGACAAGTAACGACTGCAAGTCGCGGAAGCAGCAGCTGCAGCACAAGTACTTAACCGCACTTGCAGAGTGTCAGGCGCAGTGAGAGAAGACGAACTACCAGGAGACCAGGAGTAGTAGTCATCGCCGTCGTTGTCGCGATCGTAGTGGTCGCAATGGTAGTAGTCGTCGTCGTCGTGGTGGTGGTGGTGGTGGTGGTAGGTGGTAGATGGTTGTAGTATGTTGTAGTTATTGGAGTTGGAGTTGGAGGAGTAGGGGCAAAGGCAATAACAGTACGGCAACATTAGAAGTCATCTAAATTTGAAGTGCTCCAAAGCCACAGTTACGCCTGAGCCGCGAAGATGGACCCCCAGAAACCACAACGACGCCCCAAATCCGGCCTTGTCTTCGGGGTCACTGGCCGCCACCACCTCGCTTCCACATTTCGGGAGAACTTACGTCCTCGCTTGGATGCTTAGGATTTAAGTCCCTAGTCGCTGAGTTGATAAGCCCCCCCACAAGTGTACACTTTCAGTTTTATAGTGGGTAGTACTATCCCAAGAAGTGTAAAGTGTATCCACTCAGCTACTAGGTAAGGTAAAACATGATGAGCGGCAGTTTATACCTCAACCGTTCATCGTCAGGATTTGGGGCTGTGGGATTCTGGCTCAGGCGCCGGTGCCTCCAACGGCAACTGAAATCTACGGAAAACCAATGAATCGTCACTACATTCATATCTTGTTATGATTTGGGTTGGACTGATAGAGGACGGAGACGATGGACACAAATATGGACATGGAAGCAACTGAGTGAGTTACCAAGACATTGTGTCTTTCTGACCGGGCCGCTCAGGCATGTTTCCTTCAACATCCTGGGTTTAGGATGCTACCAGCGCACTATGAAGCTTTTAGGTTTCGGGTTTAGGGCTTGAAGGTCCAAGGGGTGTTAACCACTTGGAGGAGCTTGGGACATAGTCAGCAGGCGTACAAGAAAGATATAAGATTACAGGCAAGCAGAACAAGACTTGTCCAACTGATAACCTGCAACCTGCTTACAAAGTCTCTTTTCTTCAAATTCCACGCCCGCACACCAACATGGGAACTGGAAACCCCAGAATCCTCCTTTTTCCTCCCACAGCGCAGCAGGGGCATCCTTTGGGTTTTGGGGGCGTGGTAGCATGACACTGCGAGATGTTACGAAGGAAAGAGGTCTTGGGACGTTGGCACGAGGCGGTTCCGCCATGGTGCGGCACACATTTTTGGACAACAGTCCTGAAATTTCTACAGTCCCTCTCCGACCATTACATTGTGGGATCTATTTTGACGGTCGTGCCTCCTGTCTCCTGCCGACCTACAGCTTCATGGTATCCTTCTGGCGCGGTCCTGGCGGTCCTGTCGTGTATTGTCGCCGCGGCGGTCGTCGTGGTCTGTGCTCGTGTTCGTCGCGCTGGTCGCCGGTCCTGGTCGTCATGATCGTCCCGGTGGTCCTGGTCATCGCGGTTGTCACGGCTCGGCGTCGTCGTCGTCATGCCGCTCGTGGCCATCCTGGATCCTAGTCACAGTTGTCCTGGTTGCATTGGTCGGGCCTGTAGTGATCGTGGTCGTCCTTGTATCTTCCTTCGCGGTGCACATGGTGCGCGGCGTCTTTCGAAATCAAAAATCAAACTAAACCTTAAAAGACGAAAGGGTCCAGAAGCCTCAACCCTAAACCCTCAATCGACCCTAAACCCTAAACCCCCCAAACCCTCAACCCTCAACCCCAAACCCTACACCCTGAAGGCCCAATGGCTCCAGACGAACTCGAAGCCCCAAGTCGAACGCTGTGCTGCGAGCCTCTTTGAGGATGTGCGCTGCCCCTGCGTCCGAAACACTTTCTATTATGCCCGGCAAGCTAGGAATAGAAAGGTTTAGGGTTTAGAAATAAAAAGGGCTCCCTTTTTGGTAGTGGGTAATTTTATAAGGAACCTAGGACTACAAAAAGGGAATAAGGGCACTACTGGGCATCCTAGCTTTGCTAGACCTAAGAGTAACCTAGGAATAAAAAGGGTGCCCTTGTTGGCTTAAAGGGGTTTATAAGGGAACCTAAGCCGTAAAAAAAGGGAATAAGGGCCTACTCTGGGTCCTAGCTTTGGGAAACCGAAAGGGGCCGCAAAGTTGCGGGCTCCTCCATCGCAAGCCGCAGCCAACACCCTAACCCAGAGAGCCCAATACCCCTTAAAAAAAAGGAATATACCGTAATAGGGTTCCTTTAAAAGGGGTCTAAAAGGGATCTATAGGGATTAGGGTTTCCGATACCCCTTAACTATGGAATAGAGCTTAAATCATAATGTGAAGCCCCTTATAATTCAAGCCATATTCCTTAATTAAGGGGTATTGGGCTCTCTGGGAACCCCAAAACCCTAAGCCGTGTTTCGATCGCTCACACTCGAACAATCCAGGCGAGGCATGTCACCGTGTTCAGGGTTTAGCCGAGTTTAGGATGGTTTTGCAGTTTAAGGTTGTTTAAGGCTTGCAGCTTGGGCGCCAAAGCATCTTGCATGCCGTGATTTCAGGTTGTTCGTGGGGTTGAATCTCATCGTCGGTTTTTTTTTAAAGGGCTCCTTTTCGAACTGCAGAGTGCTCATCGTCGGGTTTGAGGGTCGGGGTCTTAGCAGTTCCAGATTTCTCGAGGCTACGGGGAAGGCGAGGTTAGAGTGAACGTGGGCCGAGATTGACCCAGAGAGCCCAATACCCCTTAATTAAGGAATATACCTTAAATCATAATAATAAGGCCCCTATATTTTAAGCCATATTCCTTAATTAAGGGGTATTGGGCTCTCTGGGCCTTCGATGCAAACCGTACCCCCCCCCCCCCCCCCCAGCGCACCATGTTGCATAGTTTCGACATCGGTCTCGGAGTTGGCCTGCTGGGTCCTCCCGTTTCGACTCGCGCAACTCGCACGAAGCAGGCTGTCATTTAGGGCTTCGGGTCTCGGGTACAGATTCTTCGGAAGGCGACTGGCTTGAAGGTGTACAGTCGTGTTGGGTTTCATTGAATGCCATAGGTTTACCCCTTCGGTGTTGCAGAACACATGGTTCAGGGTAGGCGCGAGAGTTGGAGCGTTGTCGGTGCTGGTAGAGCTCTTTTCGACTCCAGTGAACCCGAACTCCGGCAACTGATGGTAGCAATTAGGGTTTCAGGGTTTAGGATTCTGGTACCTGGGTTTTCTTAGTGTTCTCTTCAGGGACCCGTGTTTCCAGCAGCTTTTCCTATAAACAATAAAGAGCCTGCACAAGAGGAATCTGAGGGCTTATGTCGTTGATAGATGTATACCATTGATTAAGAAATTACCCATCCAACACCGCTAAAGCTGCTAAACAACTAACAGATTATGGAGCAGTCCACACTATCTGTTGTTCGACTTGTGCTGTTTGCACACTTGCCTATCCCTCACGACTCGCAGACCTGAGACGTAAAGGGACATCAATCTGACGTTTGATGTACTGTGCTGCTTGGAGACATCCGAGTGCCTACGCAGAATTCAAACCCCCATAAGTCAGCCTTGTTATCCCTTCTAATAGCTCCCAAATCCGACAAGCTTTCGGCAACCCTTATATAATCCTTTGCAGCTGGGCTCTCACGAATGCCAGCAGTATTGATAGCATTTTTTTTGAGCACGGACTTGGAGTGTATGCCGGCAGCGAAGCTCTAGGGCAGAGCCTTCCTCAGTCACCCTAGTAGGAGACCTCGGGGATGCACACATGAGCAACGCAAGAACTCAATTCGTACATAGCATTGTAATTTAGGTGTCAGGCTCAGGGTCTATACAGCGAGCCATGCGCAGATTTCGGTCATGTCGTCTTTGTTGTCTCAAAGCCAACCTTTCCTGCCGGTGTGCCTCTTTTAAGTCTTCAAAACTTGTAAGCAACGTCCTTTCAGAGCTAGTTTCCTCGACAGCAAGAACATTCCCCACAGCATGTGGGACCATGCACGACGAAGAGGGAGCACTGTGTTGATCAACCTCAAGAGCTTCTGGCATCACAGAGGGGGACCAGGTAGAACCTCGTCGGTCCGGCTCCTTTTCCACAGTGGCAAGGCGCAGCTGTAAGGAGTTCACGATACCTTGAAGTTCCGAGACTCTTTCCATGGTAGTCCCCATGATGGTTTCAAACTGAGGCCGCGAAATCACCTCGACCTCAGTCTGGGTAGCATGAGTCGCAGTTCGTGCATCATCCGCCTGGGTGTGCAACCCGGGCTTGCCTCCGACTTCTTTTCCAGATCTGAAGTGTTCTTTGGAGTCTGCATCATGGTCCCTTGGAATTTGCACCTGCAAGCCCTTCTCATCCAGAGCTGAGAATAAGGAGAGGGGTATTCGTCCATCAACTTTTGCAGTCACCAGATGGAGAGCCTGCCATAACATCTGGCTGACTTCATCAAGATCTGATTTTCCAGCCAGCCGAATAGAATATCCAAGGCAGGCACACAGTTTACGAGAGCGAGCATCCATAGCAACAGCTTCTAGGAAACTCACTAATTGGAAAAGTCACACCCGTTTGGGTCTCGTAGCCAGCTTGAGCCAAAATGGCCGTAAGTATTGATAGCATTAAACCCTGAACCCTAAAGCAAAGGCGTTTGGGTACTTGGAGGATCATGGGAGTTAGTAAGTAAGGTCATAAGTAAGGTAACTATACTTATTATACTTATTAATTATTATTGCATATCACCCCAATTGAGTTGCTTCGAACCTCACATACTAAGTCCCATGATCCTCCAAGTACCGCTTAAGCCCCCAAGACCAAATCCAAAGGCCCGTTCTACTATCGGGCTCAAGTCAGGCCAGACTTAAAGCCCCTACATGGGTCCCTTTTGGGTTCCTTTAAAGGGTTCCTTAAGGGGATCTATAAGGGTTCTATAAAGGGTTTAGGGTTTAGGGAGATGTGGGTAGTTGCCAAAATTAGGATCCTTTTTGGGTCCTTATTATAATACGGCACCTATTATTTAGGGTACCCCAAAAAAGACCCTAATTTTGAAACCACCTATATGTAGGGTTTAGGGTTTCAGGGTTTGGGGTGCAAGCCCCTAAACTCCAAACCGACCAGTGACCAACTCCTCAAAATCCGAAACCCTACGCCCTAAGCCCGAAACCCTAAATCCTAAAACCCCAAGCCCTCAAATCATGACCCTGACAGGCAGACGAATCATGACCCTGAGAGGCAGACGAGACCGGGTCTGCAGGGAGTGTAGCGAGTTCCGCTGTCTCCTGCACTCACACGGTCTGTGTTTCGGGATTGGGGGGGCTTAAAAAGGCATTTATGCTCTGGCAACTCGGGCAAGGGGGATCTATACAATGTTCTAAACAGAGTTTTCTGTGAGCTTCTAGGGCTGGGGCACTTAATCAAGAGAAATAAGCAGGCTCTAGATAGGGCTGTACCTGTTACAATTTAGAAGTGTGATTGTGTAGTTGCCTGCCTGCAAACTCTAAACCCTAAACGGCCCTAAAACCCCCAACTCTAAACCCAACCTCATCCAGGCGTCGGAAGCCGCGACCCAGCGATGTTCGAGCCTGCATGGTGCTGATGACTGCTTAGGGTTTAGGGTTTAGGGGTTTAGAGTTTTACCCTCTCGCAACTCGGACAAAGGTTTTAGGGTTTAGGGTTCCAACAAAGTGGCTGTCTTTGGAGGGCCACCTGATTGAATGGGAGGTGTCCCCAAAGTCTAAAAACCTAAACCGTTAAACCCTTTATGATGGAGCTCTCCGATGTGCCATAACGGGCAGAGAATAAAGTCCCTAGATCCTTGAACCGAACAACCCATAAATCCCGACCCCTAAACCCATAAATCCAAAACTCTCAAACCGTATCCTGAGGCTTTGGGGAAGCTCTGCAAGTACTCTTTTCACTTCGAGCTTCTTCTTTACAGGTTACGGGAGACCTGCATAGATTTTCACATATAATGTAGGGACTTGTGCCAGTAGCATAGGGTGGGTTTTGCAACATAACATCGTATAGTTATTGAAAGACTTTTTCTATAATAAGGGGATACTAACTATCACTACCTATTCCGACCCCTATATCAGCTGTCCCTAAGGAAGCCGCTTGTGAGCTTTTGCTTTAGGGCTTGTACCGAGACTATTCTTCCTTGGGCTGGAGTTCGGGGGACCTCGAGACAAAATCAAGCCCACTTGGGAGTTTCCGAAAATTGGGGGTACCTTATTTTGGGGTCCTTTCATAAGGATCCTACTATTTAGGGTGCTATATTAGGGTCCCCCATTTTCGGAAACGTCCACTTATCAGCGGCGAAGCAACAACGCCCTAAGCAACAAGCCCGGAACCGCAAACCAATGACAAATACACGTTTTTGCTGCAAGCTTGCACGCAAGGACGCCTGCGACAAATACACCTAAACGCTAAAACACCAAAACACAACAAACTCTTTCTGCAACTGGAACTTGGTCACTTGCAGAGGACATGGACTGTACCGCCTCAGAAAACCCGAAAAGTGCAGCACAGGCCCAAACCACCCGATTGGACAAGCAGACCAGGTGCACACAGCTTGACAGGCTTCAATGATTGTGCGAGTAACCTAAAACCTTGAAAGAGCAAAACTCTGAACCCTCTTGAGCAGGGACTGCAATGCACTAAGCCCTGAATCCCTTCTCTAAAAACCCTGTACCCACCACAGAGCCGAGTTGCCCGAAATCTGTCTTTTCGCTCGGTAACTTCCTCAAACCTGCACCCGGAAAGTGCTTGGGGTTCTTCGTCCCACAGTCTGGGATTTCGACTCGCACACTCGCTCTCACAGGCACGGCTTCATGAGGCTCGATGGCTTGGGGAGTCGGATTTAGGAGCTAGGGTTTAACTTAAGGCTCCCAGGTTCTGTCTTAGGGACACTCAAAAGGGTAGGGGGAGGGGGGGTAGGGAGCCTTAATATCCATAATAGGCCGATTTGAGGAAGTATAGTTCCCTAACCCCCTCTCCCCTACCCTAAGGCTCCCAGGTTCTGGCATTCTAAGACGCAGGCATTGTATTCCGGGTTTGAAGCTACGGCCCTCTGGGCTTTCATGGGCCTCTGAACAATAATCGAAGACACGATCAGCTTCGTAGACCCACGAAAGACAGCGCAAATAATCCAAACCCTAGGAGAAACCCTAAACTCCCTAAACCCTGTGACGACTGACGACAGCACTGAAGCCCCCACCGTTCTTTGATTTCGTCGTTGACCTTCTGAATCTGACCTGGGTTGAGCGGACACTAGAGCACCAGCCCTAAGGTTATTTCCACGTCAGGTCCAAACGAAGGCTGGTTTCGCTCTGGACTAATACTTCTAAACTTCATTTCTCGCATTCGTCGCGTTCGTGCTCTTCTTCCACTTCTGAGTGTGCGAAAAAACATGTCGACATGCTGCTCAGTCGGGTCGTGCGCAAGTGGTCCGGCGTTCCGTACTATCTGGGGACTCATTTGGTTTCGCAAGCACTGTGACAAATGGAGGCTTCTTCAATTAGGGTTTTCGATCAACCTGATCTTAGTGGCGTTCTACATAACATATCATAACATAACATAACCTAAGGTCTCGTTTTCTGAAGGTCGAACCGGAAGCCAGTGCAATGAACCTTTGACAAAACATCGAGCTGCTTCCGCAAGCTTCACTAACAGCGTGGTGCCCCTTGCCACTGCACCAGAAACGCTGGCAGCCCACACCCGGTCAACGGCGCATGACTACGCAAGTGTGTCCTTGCCACCCTCACCTAGACCCATCCTCAAATCCTAAACCGCAGCCGAGTGCTGAAGCCCCCAAGAGGATAAGGTTCGTGCTGGCAGTGAAGCCTGAGAAGATCCTCTGTCCCCCGGTCACTGTGTCCTGGGATGACCACGATGACGAAAACAAGACGCTGAGTTCACCATACTAACGGACTAACGAAACTCAGACTAAGAACCACCGTAAACATGCTGCTGCTGCTGCTGCTGTGCTGCTGCTGCTGCTGCTCCTGCCACTGTTACGGCTACTGCTACCGCCACTAATATTTCTACTCCTCCTCCTGCTTGTGCTGCTCCTGCTCTTCCGCCTCCTCCTACTCCTACTCCTACTCCTACTCCTACTCCTACTCCTACTCCTACTCCTACTCCTGCTCCTGCTCCTGCTCCTGCTCCTGCTCCTGCTCCTGCTCCTGCTCCTGCTCCTGCTCCTGCTCCTGCTCCTGCTCCTGCTCCTACTCCTCCTACTACTCCTACGACTACTACTACTACTACTACTACTACTACTACTACTACTACTACTGCTACTCCTACTACTCCTACTACTCCTACTAGTCCTACTACTCCTACTAGTACTACCAATACTACCAGTACTACCCGTAGAACTAGTACTACGAGGACAAATAATACTACTAGTACTACTAGTACTACTAGTACTGCTGCTACTACTACTACTACTGCTACTACTACTACTACTACTACGACTACTACTACTACTACTACTGCTACTACTACTACTACTACTACTCCTACTCCTACTCCTACTCCTACTCCTACTCCTACTCCTACTCCTACTCCTACTCCTACTCCTTCTCCTTCTCCTACTACTACTACTACTACTACTACTACTGCTGCTACTACTACCGACGACAGTTATGCCTCCTATATACTCCTACTACTCCTGCTGCCACTGCTACTGCTACTGCTACGACAAAGATAGTAACGACGACTACCACTGCGACAAAGGCAGCGTATACGGTTGCGACTACGACTGCGACAGCCACTCCAGCACGCCAGCACCAGCCGCACTGCCACCACCTCAATGATTGGTATCTTCGGTTGTCTTATTGTGCCCACTGTAGAAGCTGTCGACGCCGGAAACCCTAAACTCCCTAGGCCTGAAGCCAAAACCCCGAAATCCTGCCACAGATCTAGACCACCTAAACATAGGACGCATTAGGACGCAACCTGAACTCGAAATCGTGAACCTGAAATCACCCTCTACTCTGGAATCCTCAGCTCTGAAGTAAGCTTGTGACTCCGAAGAACCCAGCCAACGCCAACATCGAAGGGCAAATCGACGCCGGCGTGCGGGGTGTGACGTTTCCGCTTTGAGTTTTAAGGTTAGGGTTTGGAGTTTAGGGTGGTCTCCGGGTTGAGTCTTAAGGTTAGGGTTTAGGGCGGTCTTCGGTTTGAGTTTTAAGGTTAGGGTTTAGGGTTTAGGGTGGTCTTCGGTTTGAGTTTAGGGGCAAAAGTGTGAAGCTGACGGGTCTCTAGGGCCAGACAGAGCCCGAAAACCTATAGGCATTGACCAAGACCACGAAGGATCTTTGTACAAGTCTGCTACAAGGCAAGTGTCTTTGGATATGGCGCCAACGACACCATTGCCTTCGATCTTCGCGATTCTCTCCTCCTCGGAAGCCATATGCGCATGTGCGCATGTGGTGTGAAGGCTTCAGTCGTCGGGCTCGCAAAAAATCAAGGGGCCTGTGGCATACTGGGTTGGTTTCCAAAGACTCGATCATAAATCCAGCGC